TACTTTCTCCTAAACACCCATTTACAACTAATAGGTTTGGAACCTGGTGGTAAATCGACAAGCTCCCAAGTGTGGTTTGACATTATTGAATTCATCTCATCATTGATGGCATCCTTCTAAAAAATTGAATCCCTAGAAGCCATTGCTTCCTTAAAAGTTTTGGGATCATCCTCCACTTGTAATATCATAGAAATTTTCCTAGTGACATTACCCCTACTTCCTTCTACTAAGTAAAAGGAAATATGTTGAAAATTAATCTCATCCGATCCCAAACTTTTCTCTTTGCGGATTCTCTTGCTTCTTCTTGGCTCAATTGGATGTTCAATGATCTTTGAAGATGTCTCCTCACGAGATTCTTCATATGTAGAACTTTGAGACTTGTCCTTATTCGCCAACAAATCTTCAAAGAATTCTACATCTCTTGATTCAACTATCACATTGGACTCCAAGTTCAAGAGTCTATATACCTTGCTATTTACCGCATAACCTACAAAGGCGCACCTAATACCTCTAGGACCTAACTTCGACCTTTTAGGATCGGTGTTCTTGTAATAAGCAAGACACCCCACACTTTGAAATACCCTATATTGGGTTTTCTTCTTCTCCATATCTCATATGGAGATGTTTTATTTTTCTTAGAAGGAATTTTATTAAGAATATGACATGCACTAAGAAGGGCTTCACCCCACAAATTAAATGGCAATTCAAAATGCAATATCATAGCATTAATCATGTTAAGAAAAATTTAAATTTTCAACTAAACCATTTTGTTCAGGTGTTCTTAGTGTAAAACATTCATGTATAATACCATTTTCTTCACAAAATGTATTAAAATCATTTGGAAAGTACTCACCTTCTCTATCACTCCTAAGAATTTTAATTTTCCTTCCCAATTGATTTTCTACTTCCGCTTTATATACCTTAAATGCATTAAAGGCTTCATCTTAATGTTTCAATAAATAAACATATGTATACCTAGATGCATCATCTATGAAAGTAATTAAATAACGATTACCACATCTTGCAATCATTCCATTTAATTCACAAATATCGGAATGCACTAATTCTAATAATTGAGAATTTCTTTCAACACTATGAAACGGCTTCTTTATCATTTTAGATTTAACACATATTTCACATTTTTTAAAATTATCAACATCACAATTGAATAATCCATAGTTGATCATTCTTTTAATAGTTGATATACCAATATGTGCTAATCTACCATGCCACAAAGAAACAGAATCAACCATATAAGCGGAATCAACATTTTTATTAATAGAATTGCCAATAGTACATAGTTTGACCATTCCCTCACTAGAATAGCCTTTTCCAACAAAAGAACCATTTCGGGACAAGATTAACTTGCCCGACTCACACACAACCTTAATCCCGGGCTTTCTCAAAAGATCCCCACTAATTAGATTTCTATTCATATCGGGTACATAAAGTACATTGGCTAGAGTGATTTTCTTCCCAAAAGTGAATGCAAGTTTCACACTCCCTTTGCCAAGCACTTTGGAACGGACTTCATTCCCCATTTGAATCTCTTGTCCGTCACTCACATCTTGGAAAGTTTTGAATAGAGATCTATCATAGGAAACATGAACGGTAGTACAAGTGTCATACCACCATCCGGGAACATTGCCTTGTACCGCATTGATTTTGCTCACAATAGAGACAATCTCTTCCTCTTCAACAGAGTTCACCTTAGCCTCATCACTAGGCTTCTTTTTGTAGCGACAATCTCTTGCATAGTGTCCCACTTTGCCACACACAAAGCATGCTCCCTTGGGTTTCTTGTTGGTCTGTGTCTTTTTGAATTTGTCTTAATCCTTTTTAGGACCCAAATTCTTGTTCTTGTTAATTTGTGAGGACTTAGTCACGGTATTGGCTTTGAAAATAGCCTCATAAGAATTTTCATTCTTATCTCTTGCCATTGACTCCTCTTCGATCCGAAGATGTTTTTGTATGTGCTCCAATGAAAAATCTTCAAAACTATGCAAAATCTTCTTCCTATATCCTTTCCAAGTAGAAGGCAATTTAGCAATAATTGTTCCTACTTGAAATGATTCAGGAAGTTCAATTTTCACAGCCCTCAACTTATTGACAATCACTTGCAATTCATGCACTTGTGGTAAAATTGGTTTATCATCAAAGAATTTAAAATCAAAATACTTTGAAATTAAGAATTACTTGGTACCTTTCTCTTGTGCTTTGTATTTGAACTCCAATGCGTTCCATATCTCTTTTACAGAAGATGTATTGGTGTAGAGATCATAGAGACGATCGGAGAGAGCATTGAGAATGTGGCCACGAGATATCAACTCATCCTCCTCTTGTTTCTTTCGTTCTGCCTTCAACGTTTCAGAGTCATCATAAGTTGGTTTGGGAATAGGCTCCAAATCTGGACTCGAAACATAGAAGATCTTCAATGTAGTCAAGAGAAACTTCAATTTGTCCTGCCACCTTGTAAAGTTAGTCCCATCAAAGCGATCCAATTTAACCAAGTCCTGGTTCATCAATTTGATAGTGGCAACGGTAGTTTCGGTCTCCATTTCAGTAAAAATTACGCTTTAAGATTGTTAGAAATCTTGAGGGAAAGGAGACTTGAAACACGTAGAAAGTACGCTTTCCTTAAAGCGTAATTTGCCCCATCTCGTTAGAGATTACTTCGGGTTCTCAGCAAATTGCTCGCAGGATATGACAAGCCTTCAAGTTGTTGATCACAAGCAAAATGACAACAACAACAAGAAAGAATTGTATAGTATATTTCATATACTTTTTTCTGTAATTCTTGTTCTTTTTATAGTTTTTTATCACACCAATACGTACAGACACAATCAAACTTGAAAAGACACCTTTCCCATTTGAATTGGTGTCAATTCAAGTTTCAAAAAACGTGTCTGATCGTTACGGCACTGCAGCGCCAGTTTCTGGAAAACTAGAAACCGTCTGCGCATGCCCAAGCGCCGCGGCACTATGCTCTATATCCAGTCAGAGCCGCGGTGCCCAGACTCAGCGCCAAAGTGCTGTGCTTGCTGGAAATTTTGTCTATTCCAGCGTCGCGACGCTCAAACTCGGCGCCAAAGCGTCCTGCTTGCTGGAAATTATGTCCGCTTTTAGGTGTGATAAAACTTAACAAATTCTTATATATTATATTTAAACAATCTCAACAAATGGGCCTTCAAGGGATTAACTTTCTTCTAGAAATATATAGGTTGACAGATATGTACACACACACACACATATATATATATATATGCACAGAAACGTAAGCTTAGAGATGTTTGGTTCATGGATTAGAATCATGAGATTAGAACCATTTTCGATTTACGTGTATTTTTTATGAGAAAAAACACTATAGCGAATCATGAACTATGATTCGAATTAGGGTACGAATCCCCTTATCAAACACACCCTTAATCTCTATGGGCCTTAAAAAGGAAAAGTTTATTTTCAGTCAATAGATTTTAAATCAAAAGCATTCATAGGAGTCATCCTTAGACTTATTAAACATTTTCATGTCTTTCCGTAAATTCAAGATGCGCCAAGCTTAATAGTGGTCCCCTCTAGAGGTCCTTTTCCTTTCCAAGGGAGTTTTGTCCTCCTTTATAAAAAAGTAATCACGAAACTTCTTTGTTGGATTTTTTTTAACTAAACAATAGATATAAATATTCTTAAGAGAAATTGTGAAAATAACATTCTCACGCTAATTAAGGTATATATTGATTAAGTTACAAATTAATTACCTACTCAAAACAGTAAATTCCATTCTTGTTACAATTTTTTTTATTTAACAAAAAAGCATGAACACAATTATTTCTAAAAATTTATATAGTAAAAAAGAAAAGTCAATAGTCATCGTTAATAATAATGCAATGTCCATAATTAATTTAACAATCTTATACTTAAAAGCTATCGATATGGTAACAACTGAAATCATGAATGAAGTACATCGAGTCATGGTTATTGTAAAAAGAAAGCAATTGAAATCATGGCTATCAGCATATATACATTGCTCAAAAGAAAACAAAACCACTTGAAATCTCCTCAGAATATTCTTATTCACGGGATGTGAATTGCCATCTGCGTGTTCAGCTGGTCCAAAGTAAACTCAATGTCGTCTTGACTTCAGTTAATTCTGTGGCATCGAGTTGCACACCGTACGTCGACGGAACAAGGGAAAAAAATTGGCTTAACACCGAGACAATCTTCTCAAAATCGGCGAGAAGAAACACGATTCAATATAGCAATAAACGATTGTGATTTGGTCTAAAAATGGGAGACCAAAATAGGATTTTATCACATAGTTTAGGGAAATAGAATTAATCTTAATTCATTAAATATCCTATTGAGTAGTATGGTGCGTGGGTTAATATATATCATGACAATCATGCAGTTAAATCATTTGTTATGTACTGATCATTTTGGCATTCACTGCTATGCAGCCTGCAGAATTGCACCTACCCGTGTTTAACTTGGCAAACATATCTGAAAATGTGAAAAGAAACGCACCCCTTACATTAAAAAAAAAAAAAAATATATATATATATATATATATATGTATAGCTAGCTAGTTTTCTAATTCTGAACTTCAATAAATGACTCAATTTAAGCAAAAGAAATGATGTCCTAAAGAGTTTATTCATTAATATAACTAGTACTCATCAAATTCTAAAAATATAGTTGCAGAATTCACTGTCACGACAAAAATTAATTTAAAGGAGAGAAACTTAATATTCCAAACAGATAATTTTCTTCCATGACCATGAGCATGGAACGAATTAATTTGGTCTGAAACAAAGAGCCACCTGCCATAACAAACGGATTGAGGTGTAAGAAAGTAGGGTCGGATAGCCATGCAAAGTGAAGAATGGCCAAAGATTCCTTACCCAGAAATACCCTACGTGTCTCTCCATCACCACTGTCTCTCCCCTATAAATACAAACGTCTTCTGTTCTCCACTTCACCTCAATCCATCACAACTATTACTCAACATGGCAAAGCGCTCTTTTCTGTCTCTTTCCCTTTGCCTGCTCGTTCTCTTCCAAGGCAGCCTTGCCATCTCTCGCTCTCGGTCAGAGGAGTACTCTCGCCGGCAGAATGAGTGCCAGTTCGATCGCCTCCAAGCCCTCGAACCCGACAGCCGCATTCAGGCTGAAGCCGGAGTCATCGAGTCGTGGAACCCCAATCACGACCAGTTCCAATGCGCTTGTGTCGCCGTCGTTCGCCGCACCGTCGAACCCAACGGCCTTCACTTGCCTTCTTACACTAACACTCCTCAACTCATGTACATTGTGAGAGGTACATATATTTATATCGTGTGAATAGACTTGTACTGATTGAATAATTAGAATTATTATTTACTTATTTATTTTTTTGCTCTGGATTAACCATTTGGCTTTATACACATCTCTTGTACAGGAAGGGGTATCATAGGAACTGTATTCCCTGGTTGCGCCGAGACTTTCGAAGAGTCCCAGAAAGGACAGGGCCGTAGCTCACAACCGGAAGACCGTCACCAGAAACTCCGACACGTAAGGGAAGGCGACATCGTCGCAATCCCAGTCGGAGTTGCCTACTGGAGCTACAACAACGGCGATCAACAACTCGTCTCCGTTACTCTTCTCGACACCAGCAACGTCGAGAACCAGCTTGATCAAAACCCTAGAGTAAGAACATAAAAATAATATATAATATCCACTCTCTTATAATGTTGATGCATGCATAAAACTGTCTTTATATGATATATTGTATCGTACTACGTACAGAGATTCTATCTTGCTGGCAACCCTGAAGACGAATTCGAGCAACAACAACAACAATATCAAGAACAGCAAGGACGTGAACCAAGCCGCCGCCGACGTGGCTCAGAGGACAAGCACAACATCTTCAGAGGTTTGAACACTAGATTCATCGAGGAAGCATTCAACGTGGACTCTGAGACCGCAAGGAGAATTCAGGGCCAAAACGACAACAGGAACAACATCATCAAGGTAAAGGGAGGTCTTGACTTGGTGAGCCCGTTGAGATCAAGTCAAGAGCGT